CCCCTCACACACCTCCTCCTCAGCACAGCCCCTCACACACCTCCTCCTCAGTACAGCCCCTCATCTCCTCCTCAGTACAGCCCCTCATCTCCTCCTCAGCACAGCCCCTCACACACCTCCTCCTCAGCACAGCCCCTCATCTCCTCCTCAGCACAGCCCCTCACACACCTCCTCCTCAGCACAGCCTCTCACCTCCTCCTCAGTACAGCCACACACACACCACCTCCTCAGTACAGTCTCCACACACCTCCTCCTTAGTACAGCCCCTCACCTCCTCCTCAGCACAGCCTCCACACCTCCTCCTCAGCACAGCCCCCCTCACTTCCTGCTCTGCACAGCCGTGTGTCATTCCTACAGTCATGACTATGCTCCTTTCAGTGCTGTCGACTTCCCTGGATTCACACTGTGTCTCTGCTCCTGGTATGGGATATAGTGTAGAATGAGGCACACAGGCCCTGTACCTGTGGGTAGTGTGCCCGTCAGGGCAATAAACATCACTCCAAAAGGTGGTAGCCATAGAACTTGGCCCTATATGGAGAAGTGTGTGGGAGCAGGGACAGAGACGACAGGATGCATGGGGACTGGAAGCACTCTGTGGGTTGTGACTGTTCCCAACTGTGGCTGAGAGGGCAAAGGCCAGCAGCCATCCTGGGCAGTCGGCCATGATGGACACAGGTCAGGGACTAGTGAATCCATGGGAGCAGCGTGGTCACACACAGGGGCTGATTCCAGGCCCTGCTGGGTTCTGGCAGAAGGTAACAAACAGGGTGTTAGAGGTTCGATTTCAGCTAGACAGACTGGCCGCCTCAACCTGACATCCTGGTCCACCCAGAGCAACCCCCTTCCCACTGCCCTCATGCCCTTATGCTGGGCCCAGCCCAGGTTGCCTGTTCTCCTGGAGGTAGCACCTCCAAGCCCCAGGGGTGCAGAGTTTCCTCCTCTTAGTACACACTGGGTTTGCCCAGCATTGTTCATCTTGCTTTGATGCCATCCTATAAGGCCACCAAGACAAGGCCAGAGCTCGAAGGCTGTCCAATTGTCCCTGAAACCACACAGTGCTTCCAGGAACCTTTCCCCTCATCCTCATGCTCTCTTCAGATCTACACACCAAGCAACTGAGTGAGACCAAGCCCTGGCAGGCAGGGCCACAGCTGGAGCGGCCAGACTCCCCAACCACACTGACAGCCCTCAGCCCAACAGAGGCCCAACAAGGGGTTCCAGTACACCTTTGCTGAGGCCTCCTGGCCACCCCTGGACACCATTCTTGCCCTGAGCATTCAGTTTCCCCTCTTACAAAGAGATGCTATCAAGACTGTTCATAAGATGACAATGATGGGTGTCATACATCCAGTGCAGCCTGCACCGGAGAGCGCACATCTGCAAGCCGGCCACACATGGGGCTTCTCACAGCACGTTGATTTCTCTCCATGCACAACTGCTAATAAGCTCCTGTTCCCAAGAAACAGTGACAGATGCCCACCTGTCTCAGGCTGCGTTTTACCTGCATGTACAAGCTGTGAGCAGGGGGACAGGCAGCACAGAAGAATTCTGAGTGCACTTGAATCCCAGCTCCCCCAGAATAGCAGGACCACTTAGGGATCCCAGGCATGTGGGCAGGAGCAGGGTCAGACCATCCCAGTTCAGGTGGGCAGGAGCAGGGTCAGACTGTCCCAGTTCAGGTGGGAGGGAGGGGGGTCGACCATCTCAGCTCAGATGGGCAAGAGAGTGGGTCACACCACCCCAGCTCAAGTGGGCAGGACAGGGGTCAGATTGCTCCAGCTCACGTGGGCAGGAGGGTGACTGGGCCATCTCAGCTCAGGTGTTGGGTGCCTCACGTAATACTCTAACTTTGGGCACTGTCAGGCACAGTGACAATGTGTGAGAGGTGGTGAGGACATGGGTTCTGGGGGTCAAAGATGATGGGGCCTCCACACTCCAGGTGTGCCCTGGGAAGCAAGGTGACAAGTGTGGTCAAGAACCCTCCTGGGCCTCCTGTATTGGCCAGACCCCTTCTGCCTGACCTGTAAGGGCCTCACCCCATCTCTATGGGAAGGCCCAGGTAGCTTCGGGAGGAGAGCCTGACCCTGACTTTCACCCTCATCCTCACCCTCATTGTGACCCTGACTCTGATGAGCCTGCAGTTCATGTCAGTCTTGGCCTCATTCTTATCCCCTTTGACCCCAGTCTTTGGCCCCTGTCTCTCTAGTGCCCATTGAACACATCAGCACACAACCACAGGGGCCTCGGCCCCTTGACGAGTAGTGCCCATGGGCCCTGCTAACCTGGGGCTGGAACCGTATGCTTGGGGTGACCAGCTTAGGCAACTCTGAGCTCCTGGGGGAGGGGACAGAAGCCAAGCATCCGGGACCACAGGCACAGATGCACACGCCCATGACCCACCTGGGGGCAGGAGGAGAGGGAGGCATGATGAATAGGTGCCTTTGTGGGGTCCTGGCATCCAGGTGGGGTGGTACCCTAGGAACTTCCACCCAGTACTGAAGCCCTAAAAAGTGATGGGTCTCAGGCCCTCCTAGGGAGCCCCTCAGCCACCCCATGCATGAACAAAGATGCCAAAGCTGACCCACAGCAGAGGACCACCCAGCAATCATGGCTGGTCACATGCTAACACAGAGGCTTTTGAGGGCCCCGTGGGGGTGCCAGCCCCCTGTGGAGGTGGTGATAACAGCCAGTGCCACTCAGGACTTTCCAGTAAGACCGCAGAGCTGTGTCCTGATAAAGCACTAGGATCCTGTTTGGCTACCGCTATGGTCGGCAGGCCACGGCAGCTCCAAGGCTGCAGGTGTGGTGTGCAGCGGGCGTGACTGGGCAGGGCCAGGGCCAGCCCTATATAAGCCATCCATCTGCTGGCCATTCGTGTTCCAAAGGCGGCAGCAGCAGAAGGGTGGTCCAGCGGCGGCCACTCTTCTCGCCACAGCGTCATGCTTGGGCCTCAGTTGCTGCTGCTGCTGTCCATTGGGGGACACCTGCTCAGTGCTGGTGAGTGAGTCAGGCCACGGTCAAGGGCTCCACAGAGAAGTGGGCACCCACCTGGGCCTTGGGAGCCTCCCAGGCCAATTCTGTGGAGACCACAGCCGTGTGAGTCTGGTGAATGGGATCGGGAAGCAGAACCCAGGCAGGAAACCCTCTCACAGGGTCTCACTCCAGCACTTCCAGACCCCATTCCAGAAAGCTGGCCCAGGGCCAGGGAGGAGGAGGCTCAGAAGAGGGGGTGTCGGGGGTGCCTCAGGCACAGTCCCATCAACAGTGCTGGGCATAACAGAAGCTGGTGTGCTGGAGGAACAGAGACTTGGGGTGCTAAGAACAGAGAATGAGGGGTTCTGGGAACAGAGACAGGGGTACCAAGAACAGAGAGATGCTGGGGAAACAGACTGGGGGTGCCAGGGGAATAGAAACTGGGGGTGCTGAGGGACAGAATCTGGGGGTGCCGGGGGAACGGAGATCAGAGTGCTAGGGGAGCAAGGATTGACCAGGAGGTCAGAGTTTGAGGATCCTGGGAGCACAGAACCTGATAATGCTGGGGGGACAAAGTTTGAGGGTATCATGAGGACAGAGTCTGTGGCTGCTAAGAGGACAGAGCCCACAGTGCTGGGGGGACAGAACTTGGGAGTGCTGATGGGTGGGACAGGCTAAAGCAGTGAGTCATAAGCAGAGTGAAGGGTCCCAGGTCATGTGCTGGGGATGGTCCAAGAGCCCAGGGGCCATCATCCAGCCAGCATCCACCTTCATTTTGGCAAACACTTTGAACTCCAACCTCATGGGACAGCGGAGGTGGGTAGCCAGCCTGCCCACCTGGAGTCCCTGCATGGACCACACAGGAGCTGGCTGGCTACCCCAAAAAGAGCAGGCCTAGTGTCTACTAAGGGAGCAGACAGAAGAGTCAATTACATCCTGGGTGGGACAGTGGAAGGACAGGAGCGAAGACAGAGTTAAGTTTAGAGGAAGGACAGGGAGGGGTGGGAAGAACAATAGTGAGGAGAGGAGGACCAGAGAGAGTCCCTGAAGGCAGGACTCGGAGGAAGAGGTGAGCAGAAAGCAATCTCAGGGTCGCAGAGGACCACAGACGAAATGAGTGTCTGCACTCAGCCAAGCCACCAGCTTCCTAGACTCATCCAGTTACACGAGGGAGCAAGGCCAAGGGGCTGGGAGGGGGTGGGACCTGCCCAGCCCCAGAGTTCCTGGGTGCCTATTATTCCTGCCATGGTGACCGATCTCCTGGTGTGGGCAGTAAGCAAGGGGCAACAGGAAGAGGAAGCAGGAGGATCCTGGCAGCAAATAGGGAAGCCAGCTGGAACCCAGCACCCTGCTAGCCTGAGCCACACGCCAAGCTGCCAGGGGCCACAGCCAGACCACATGGAGGACAAATGTACAAGGAGAGGCGCCAGGCCCAGGGGTAGCAGAGCAGCAGAACAAGCTCAGTGTGACAATGACATTCTGTCTGAAGGCCCCAAGAGCTCCTACTCCTCATCCTCAGACTTCCCAGACTTCCCTAGTCACCGCCACAGAGCCCCTCCCACCCTCCTTGGCCGGCCATTCTCAGGCAAACCAGTGCTCTCAGGCTGCCCCCCCAGTGCCCCCTGCTGCCCAGTGTTTCAGCGTGTGGGTGTGCACAGATGTTCATGTCCATGTACATGGGTCCATGTGCGTGCCCACATGAGCCTGCACACCGGCCTGTGTCCATGTGTGTGCCCTCGTGAGCCTGCACACCGGTCTGTGTCCACGGGTCCATGTGTGACTGTCCACATGTACCTGTATGTGTATGCTTGCATGCACACGTCCATGTGTGATTGGGTTCATGTGTGCCTGCATGTGGGCGTCCACCTGTATGCATGTCTGTCTGTGTGCATGAGTCCCTGTCCATGTCCACATGTCCTTCTATGTGTGCATTTAAATGTGTATGTGTCATGTGTGAAGGCCTACATGTGTCCACATGTGTGCACACATCCATGTGTGTCTGCACGTGTAGATGATGTCCATGCATGCTTACATGTGTTCTCGGCATGTCTCTGTGCACACATGTTGGTTACTTAGTGGTTGGGCCTGGTGGGGACATTCCTAACCACCCTAGGTCTGAGCTTTGGCTTCCTGTCTACAGACCCAGGGACTGACAGCATCTCAGGCCTCAACATCCAGGACAGCCTGTCGTCCTATGAGACAGGTGAGTGGCAGACCCCAGGCCAGGCCAGAGAGGGCAGGCTGTAAGTCTGGCACCCGCTCTAGAAGAACTTTCCGTCCCACCACTCTGCAGCTCAGGACAGGGGCTGGTGTTCCACTTGGGGAACTGGGCACTTCTCCACCTTCGACCGCCACATCTATGACTTCGCTGGTACCTGCAACTACATCTTCGCGGCCATCTGCCAGGACACGTCGTCCACCTTCAGCATCCAGCTCCGGCGTGGACCAGAGGGGACAGCGACCCGCATCATCGTGGAGCTGGGCTCCTCTGTGGTCACGGTGCAGGGAGGCAAAATCACCATCAAGGATGTAGGGTAGGGTCTCCTCCTGCAAGAGCCAGGACTAGTGGCCGGGTCCTGGGGGCGGGGGTGGCGAGGGCTGGCTTAGTAGGGGGCAGAGTGAGGCAGGTCTGTGGGGGGGGCAGAGTCAAGTGAGGTAGGGAAGGGCTCCAGACTGAGGGACTCTCCCCCAGGGTGGTGAGCACCCCCTACACCAGCAACGGACTCCAGATCACGCCCTTCGGTCAGAACACAAGGCTGGTGGCTAAGCAGCTGGAATTGGAGCTGGAGGTGCTGTGGGGCCCGGACGGCTACATCATGGTGAGGACAGGGTGCCAGGAGGAAGTGAGGGCAGGAGCACTGGGTGGACATAGCTAGGTCCTTGCTGCAGTGCCCAGGCCAGGAACTGGGTCTCCGGAGCATGCTGGGCAATGCATATCCTCTCCTGGACGCTGCAAACACACATGTCCCCAGGGGCAGGGGTGGGTGGGGCAGGGACGGGCACCTGCAACCCAGAAGTAGGGCATCTGGCTTCCCACCTCTGCTGGCCCGCTGTGCCCAGCAGTGCTCTGCCGCCCCAGGTCCTGGTGGAGAAGAAATACATGGAGAAGATGTGTGGGCTGTGTGGGAACTTCGACGGGGACGAGTCCAATGAGTTCCTGAGTGAGACTGGTAAGCAGGCAACTCCGGAGGGCTGGGTGGCTTTGCCTCTGCGACACTGACGCCCTCGGTGCTCCCAGGCAAGCCCCTGGACGTCCACAAGTATGCTGCCCTCCAGAGACTGGATGACCCCAATGAGATCTGCGCCTTCGAGCCAATCCCCAAGCCCCGCACTCAGCCGGCTACACACGTAGGTATAGGGGCGTCCCAGATACTGGAGGGAGGATGGGACTCCCTGGTGACACCAGTGCTCTCTGCCCAGGCCCAGATCTGCGCCCACCTGCTGAGCCTGGTGTCCCCCGAGTGCAACATCCCCCGGGAGCCTTATGTGAAGAGCTGCCAGGCGGAAATGGCTGCCTGCTCTCGGCCCGGTCAGCACAACTGCAGCTGTGCCACGCTCTCAGAGTTCTCCCGCCAGTGCAGCATGGCCTGCCAGGCCGTCCGCCCCTGGAGGGAGCCCGGCTTCTGCTGTGAGTTGGGGGTCGGAACCTGGGTCTTTCGGCCAGCAGGCAAGCCCGCCTCCCTCATCTGCTCACAGGGCCACTGCAGGTCTCAGAGTGAGATCCTGCCTGGACCTGGACAGGCCCACAACCCTGCCCTCTCATACCCCCACCTCTGTGTATCTGCAGCGGTGGGGCAGTGCCCAGGTAACCAGGTGTACAAAGAGTGCGGCCCAGCCTATCTCAGGACTTGCTCCAACCCAAGGCACAGCTTCCCCAGCTACTGCACCTTCGGCTGCTTCTGTCCTGAAGGTGAGGGTCTCTGCTGCCCCCAGGACCTGGTTCATGAGATCTCAGATGAGCCAGACAAGGGAAAGCTCATCCCTCGGGAGGGCACTAGGCTCGTGTTCATGAGGCTGTGGAGGAGACGGGTCTGAGGCCACAAGCACCAACTAGGGTCTTTCTCTCGCCGGGGACACACTGAGAGAAGTCAGAGGGTGGCCAAGGCTGCAACATGAGGTCGCAGGGCTCAGCAAAGGAGAGGGAGGACGGGGTGCAGGACAGCGCGGTGCCTGGAGGGAAGACGCTGGCACCAGCCCCAGAACAGTCCTCTCCTGCAGGCACGGTCCTCGACGACCTCTCCCGAAGCCAGACCTGTGTGCCAGTCTCCCAGTGCCCCTGCACAGTCAGCGGGGTGCTCTATGCCCCAGGGGAGGTCGTGACATCTGCCTGCAAAATATGGTGTGTTAAGGGCAGGGGCGAGCATGTGCAGCTCAAGGGAGGAAAGATGGGGAGCCAGGGGTGCAGGGAGGGAGAAGGAAGACAGGGAGCAGAGGGGTACAGGGAGGCAGAGGGGCCCAGAAGGGATGCTTCAACCTGCCTCCCCCTGGGGTGATCCCACCCACCAGCCGGTGCCATGATGGCGTCTGGACATGCACGGAGCGGCCTTGCCCTGGACGCTGCTCCCTGGAAGGTGGCTCTTTCGTCACCACGTTCGACGCCAGGCCCTACCGCTTCCACGGCACCTGCACTTACATCCTGCTCCAGGTAGGAGGGCCAGAGCCAGTGGAAGGGGAGGAGGGGTGGGCAAGGGAGCACCTGAAGCGACCCCTGACCTCTGAGCCCACCCTCCCCAGAGTCCCCAGCTCCCTGCCCCTGGCACGCTCCTGGCCGTGTACGAAAAGTCTGGTTACTCGCACTCGGAAACCTCCCTCGTTTCTGTGATCTACATGTCAGGCCACGTAAGTCACACCCAGCCAGCCAACCCCTGCCCTGGGCTGGAGGCCCCATGTGCCACAGCCAGCCGGCTGTGCCCACGCACCCCCACCCCCGTGACTCAGCCTCTCTCCCCAGGATAAAATCATGATTTCTCATAATGAACTGGTCACAAACAATGGTGAAGTGAAGAGGCTGCCCTACCACGTGGGTAGGTTCCCTCCCCGCAGATTGGCCTCCTTGAGCTGGAGGTGGTTATGGACAGTCACCAAGCCTCGGTCATCTTCCAGGTAACGTCACTGTCTTCAGACAGACGTCCACCAGCTTCCAAATGACCACAACCTTCGGGCTTGAGCTCACTGTTCAGCTGCAGCCTGTGTTCCAGGCTTACATCACTGTGGGGCCCCACTTCAAGGGCCAGACCCGAGGTGAGTCCCTGCCCTCCGAACCTGATCAACATCCCTATTGGGCATGTCCAGGGTCCCTGCGTCTGGACATGAGCTTCAAGGGGCCAGGCAAGGCCTCTGGTGTGCACTGGACAGGGTGGGATGACACCAGAGCGAGAAAGGGCGTGTCAGAGAGTACGCAGGTGGAACAGGAGTGGACACATGACAGACAAGAGCGTTTCTGGCAGGAACAGAATGCATGTGGTGATGTGAGACAGGGCCAGTCCAGGAGTGCGGTGGGCAGGGCTGGGAAACAGGTGGGGATGGGGGTGATGGTGACAGGTGCAGGTGGGTACAGGTGGGCAGAGGCCTGTGAGATGGAGTTCCCTGCACAGTGGACAGGGCCGGGGAGGTGGGGGACACACGCCCACCCTCATGGCCCCACCCACCTGTACAGGGCTCTGTGGCAATTACAACGGGGACACAACTGACGACTTCACAACCAGCATGGACATTGCAGAAGGCACTGCTTCAGTCTTCGTGGACTCCTGGAGGGCAGAGAACTGCCCAGAGGCCCTAGAGCGAGAGACCGACCCCTGCTCCATGAGTCATCTCAACAGTGAGGGCCCTCTGCCACCTGCTGCCTGCCACCTGCCACTGCCACTTCCAGGGGTCCTCAGAGGGTAGGTGCCTCAGCCCAGGGGACTCACTTGCCGGTCTGTCTCCTCAGAGGTGTGTGCAGAGACTCACTGCTCGGTCCTGTTGAAGAAAGGCTCCGTGTTCGAGAAGTGCCACGCAGTGGTGGACCCCAAACCCTTCTACAAGGTGGGCTGGGCCACCAGGATGCTGGGTGGGTCAGGCGTCTGCAGAGACCTGGCGCCCTGGCCATCATTGCTAGCCCAGCACTCTGCTGTCCCGCAGAGGTGTGTCTATCAGGCGTGCAACTACGAGGCGACCTTCCCCCACATCTGTGCTGCCCTGGGCACCTACGCCCACCTGTGCGCCTCCCGCGGAGTCGTGCTCTGGGGCTGGAGGAACCACGTGGAGAACTGCAGTGAGTGCTCGTGGGCCCTGGAGCTGGGCTCTGGAGGCCTACCACAGGCTCCACAGAGGCTCCTGGAGGTGCCAGGACGCCAAGGGAGGCCCCTGATGGGATCCTGGGGGAGACCTGGGTTCCCTCCCCGGCCCCCGTGTCAGCCTGTCTGGTGCATTCCGCAGCCATCTCTTGCACGGGCAACAGTACGTTCAGCTATGAGAGCCAGGCCTGCAACCGCACGTGCCTGTCACTGTCGGACCACACGCTCGAGTGCCACCCCAGCTCAGTGCCCAGTGAGGGCTGCAACTGTCCCGAGGGCACTTACCTGAACCACAAGGGAGAGTGTGTGCGCCAGGCTCAGTGTCCCTGTCGGCTGAATGACAAGCTCATCCCAGCCGGCCAGTCCATGCTGGTGGGCGACATCCAGTGGTATGGCTGTGAGGTGGGGCCCACCTGGCTTGCAGCACCCCGCACTCAGAGGCAGGGCGCCTCACCATGTCTCCTCTTTGCAGCTACTGCACCAGCGGTCGGCTGAGCTGCCCAGGCACATCCCGAGAGTACCTGGGTACGTAGCTGCCAGAGGTGGGGCTGGGGCCCTGGGAGCTCGTGAGCACCTCCTCTGACCACCACTCTCCCACTCCTGCAGCCACCTGCACAGCCCCAAAGATCTTCCAGTCTTGCAGCCAATCCTCAGAGAACGAGTTTGGGGCATCCTGTGCCCCCACATGCCAGATGCTGGCCACTGGCACCACCTGTGTAAGGCTTGGGGGCAGCGCCAGCACTTCCAGAGTGGGCATGCTTCAGGAAGCACCCTGTCTTCCCTTGTGACTGGGAGACCCTCCAGCGGGTCCTGAGAGGCCTTGTACAGTATCTTTGGGAAAGAAGGGTGGTGTTCTACCTCACAACCAGGATTGGGGATTCCATGAAGACATGCATACTGAGAGTTCCTCTGAGGGTCCAGGCACCCCCTCCCCGGCCTGGGAAGGACTGGCTGATTGAGTGTGTGGGTGTGGTTAGGGGCATCTCAAGCCAGGTTCCTGGGCAAAGGGGCTTCTCTGCTGAGGTCCCAGAACGATGGTGAGCAGAAAGGACACCCAGCAGCCCTGGAGGAATGCCGGAGGGGCCGTATCACAGCCTCTTGTCTTCCTCCAGGTCCCCACCAAGTGTGAGCCTGGCTGTGTCTGTGCTGATGGCCTCTACGAGGATGCCAGTGGTCAGTGTGTGCCTCCTGAAGACTGCCCCTGTGAGTTTGCAGGGACTTCCTACCCCAGGGGCTCCAAGATCAATACCGCCTGTCAGGCCTGGTAAGTACAGTCTTGCTTCACTGGCCTGGGACATGGGGGGCGGTGGGGCGGGCGCGGGGACTCTGGGCAATGAGGCTTCAGGAAAAGGGATCCTAGCACCAGGATCAGCTCAGAGCAGACTCCACAGAAGTGGAAGCTAGCCTGGGTGTGTCCACCACCCCAGCTGGCCTTCTCTTCGCAGCACCTGCCAGTGGGGGAAGTGGACATGCGAGATGGACTCCCACTGCCCCTCAACCTGCACCCTCTACGGGGAAGGTCACATGATCACCTTTGATGGACAGCGCTTCCTCTTCCAGGGAAGCTGCGAGTATACTCTGGCCACGGTAAGGCCGGCCCTGGGGGTCTCACAAGGCTGGGCCCCGACTTCTATTCAGTGGCCCCCCTTTCTCCCGGCAGGATGCCTGTGGTGCCAACAACTCTCAGCCCACCTTCAAAATCGTCACCGAAAATGTTATCTGTGGCAAGACAGGGGTCACGTGCTCACGGGCCATCAGGCTTACGCTGGGGGTGAGTGGCGGACCCTCCCCACCGGTCCTCAGGCCCCTGGGTCCTCACATCTGCCCTTCCAGGTCTCTGATATCTGATCCTCACCCCTGCGTCCTCCCCAGCATGAACATTCCCCTGGGCACAGGTCGTCCAGGCAGCTGCTGACCACCCTGCCCCACAGGCCCTGTCCATTGTATTGGAGGACAAGAACTACACTGTCAGCGGGCACGATCCCCAAGTGAGCTTCCGAGTGCAGTCTGGCTCCCTGCACCTGGTGCTGGACATCTGCATCGCCAGCAAGTACAACCTGACGGTGATCTGGAACAAACACATGATGGTTCTCATCAAAGTTTCACGTGCCTCTGCACAGGTAACTGAGGTGTCCTGGAGCCTGACTGGAGTGCGGTGAAAGCAAGGTCAGGCAACTGTAGGCGGGACCTGGCGGTCTAGGCCTGTGGGAGCCTGTTGGTTAGGAGCGGGGCCTGTCTGGGCTGGAGGCGGGTCTGTCTGGGCTGGGGGCGGGTCTGTCTGGGCT